TTTTTTTTTTTTTGTAAAATTTTTAAATACTAATTACATTATTTTGTTCTCATTTTTTCTTGAAATTATATTAATTTTATTATTTGGACTTAGGTGTATCGATTTATTATAAGTTGAGATAATTTTCTTTTATAAGTAGTTAAAATAAATAAAAAAATAAGGTTTTTAATATTGATTTATAGGCCCCGACTAGGCGACGCCTAGACCTCGCCTAGGCGCTCTACGCGCTAGGCGCTGGTCGAGCGCCTAGCGACTTTTAGAAAACTGAAATATACCTAGTACAACAAAAATTCTATGGAGCCATCAGATGGTTTTTTTTATGGAACCTTCCACTAGTTAATGTATTGACAATGTACAAATTGTATTTATTGCAGGACACGCGTTAAGACACTATTGGTAAATAAATGTGGATAGCTTCATAAACCGAATCATCCGATGAGTCCATAACAAAACTGCTACTAACTAAAAAAATATCATGTAATTAGCACTTGACTAGGTCGCATACATAGAAATTTTTTTTCGAGCTCACCCGCTATAAAATTGCAAAAAGTAACCAATATCTTTGAAAGATGCTAAAAATATCTGCGAACGTATTTCTAACTTTTTCTATACAAATCTCCAGGTTGAAAAACTAATTTCTCACAAAAACATACTACTAATTTAATTTTAATTTTTTTTCCCTACTAAATTCACTAACACAATTAAAAAATATTAAAAAAAAATATTAATTCCAAATCACGTATTTCTAAATACTATCTTATCTATTATATTTTATTATTTCAATATTTTACCAACTTTCATTATATTACTATCTCAATTTATCTAATTTTTTTTAAAATAACTTTTTTGTGGAAAGCTTTTTTTTTTTTTTTTTTTAAATCTATGCAATCCCACCCTAATTATTACACCAAACTAGCATGAATTCATAATTAAATTTCTCGGGAAAAAAATCTCGTCAATTCCAATAGGCCACCAGTCAAATATTCATCAAATATATATTTATTTTGATAAGAAATGCTATAGTCACATTACGGAATCATTCGGTCAGGCAGGACAGCGGGCCCAAAAGAACGCTCAAAAATATTTTCAGTCGAAACCGTCGAGGATAATTGATCAAATAATTACAAATCCGATGGAATTGTTCCGTAACGAAAACGCATAACATCTTCCATCTCCCTATTTTAATAAACACTAATACAATTGACGTAATAAATTTAAAAAAGCAGTCCGTAGATAGATGTAATTTAAAATAAGGACAAAGTCCATTTTTGGTCCTCCATGTTTAGGGGGTATCCAGACTGAGTCCCCATTATTTTTTGCTACCCAATTTTAGTCCTTAAAACAAAAAAATGTAGTCCCTATTATGTTTTGGTGCCCAATTTTAGTCCTTAAAACAAATAATGTAGTCTCTATTATGTTTTGGTGCCCAATTT